GCGGGCAAACCCTTAAACCCTTAAACCCTAAACCCTAAATCCTGAACCCTGAACCCTAAACCCTAAATCCTAAACCCTGAACCCTTAAACCCTTAAACCCTAAACCCTGAACCCTTAAACCCTAAACCCTAAATCCTTAAACCCTGAACCCTAAACCTTAAACCCTAAACCCTAAACCCTAGACCCAGACGGGGCCTCGATCACATCATCCTCCGGCTCTTCTTCCGGCTCTTCCTGTGCGTGGGTAGTTCTTTAAGTTAGGGTCCCTTTTTAGGTCCCCAATATAGCGGTTTAGGGTTTAGGGTTTAGGGTTTAGGGCTTAGGGTTTAGGCTTAGGGTCCCAATATAGTATGGCAGCCTGACAAAAAAAGACCCTAAAAGGGGCCCTAATTCAGAGAACTACCCGCATGCAAAGACCCACGACATGCTCAGCTTCTACACGACACGACCATGACGACAACAAGGGCGACCAGTGCCACCACTTTATTTTGGGGGGTTCCTTGTTCTAATTAAAGTATAGTGGGCCCCAAAGCCCTATTCTAATTATCAAGGCCCCTCTTATAGTAGCCCCTACAGAACCCTCTAAAATAAAGCCCGCTATATCCCCCCAAAGACTGCCTCACTCCCGGGGTGGGGGGCCTTCCTATTAAGGCCCCTGTATTACCTGAGCCCTAAACCCCAAACCCTAAACCCTAAAACCGTCAAAGTCTGCCTCACTCCCCGGGGGCAGCCTAAACCCTAAACCCTAAACCCTAAAACTTCCTATTAAGGCCCCTAACCCCAAACCCTAAACCCTAAAACCGTCAAAGTCTGCCGGGGGGAGCCTAAACCCTACACCTCTAACCCTAAACCAACCAGACATCAAGAGTGCGGATCGTAGGCTGGACTTTCGGCGAACACAAGAAAGGGTTGGGGGAACTAATGATATTACTATTAACAGTAGCACGTAACAAGAATAATAATTAGTGATAAGAGTGACCATAATGATAGTAATAAAAGTAATAGTAGTGATAAGAATAGTTGTTTTATAGTCATGATAGTATTCATGGTAACAATAATGCCTATGCGTTGAGGGTTTGGGCGTGATGGATGTCGAAAGATGTCAAGTGAGCCCTGAATCCCTAAACCCTAAACCCTAAACCCTAAAAAACCCAAAACCCTAAAAAACCCTAAACCCTCACCAACGCAGCTCCTCAGCCTCCTCCATTTCGAGGTCGTTGGCCTGCGGAACAACGCAGTGCCCGAAGCAGACCACATCTTTAATATAGGGTTTTAGGGTTTAGGGTTTAGGGTTTAGGAGTCTTTTTACCAATAATTGCCTTGGTTTCAAGATGTGATTTCCAACCTTAGAAACCCTATCAAACCTCTAAGTCCCAAAAACCCTACAAACCCTCTAACCCCAGTCGAAGAGCTGCTTACCACGCTGTCAAGCCCTCGGGTGCTGCGTTTGAGATCTAGGAGCTTAACGTTTAGGGCTTAAGGCTTTTTCGGGCGCGGGGCGTAGGGCTTACAGGACTTCGGGTCTGGAAGTACAAACATTGGGTTTAGGGTTTAGGGTTTAGGGTCCTAAACCCTAAACCTCGAGCCGTAGATTCGTCGCCTCGTCCGTGTCTCCCAGAAGAACGTCCATCGTGCGCTTCAGGGCGGCCTGGAAAGCGTGATTCAGGGCCAAGGGTTTAGGGTTTAGGGTGAAGAATCTGGGATTGGGCTTGAAGTTGCCTTAGGGTCGAGGATGTGGGCGGTGGAGAGCTTAGCGATTAGGGAAACCAAACACGTGGCACTGAGATTCTCCGTTGCAGCGATGGTGATGATGATGATGATGATGATCATGATCATGATGATGATTCCGTCGATGCCCACACCAGCGCTGACGCTGCTGCCGACGAGGAGGAGGAGGAAGAAGAATGAAAGGGCAAGAAGGAACAGAAGAAAAGGCAGCGGGCAACAGTGCCACGTAGCCACACTGGCCAGCTCGGCAAACATAGCAGTCCGAATGACATGCTACAATTGCCACTAACACCACTAAAGCACAGTGGGACTAATGGTAGAAGGAGGAGGACGAGGAGGAGCAGCGAAAAGGAAAACACAGCAGGAGCAGGAGCGAGGCAGAAACCGAAGACGATACCTCATCCAGGCACGAATTTTCCATAAGCTGCAGAGATCTTGTTGAAGGGATCATAAAACAGGTTGTCTTGAAGTCTTAGAAGCCCTTAAAGGTTTGCAGAAGCAGTAGAACACAGGCGTCATCATTGAGCTTCCTAACCCTATAAAGCCCTAATCCCAAAAACCCTACACCCTAGAAGTCGAAAATACCCCATGAAGGCCGAACAAGCAGCTCTAAAGCCCTAAATTCGCATGAACCCTACAAGCCCCTTATCGAACCCGTTCTCGAGCTCGTACAACAGAACTCTTACAAGAAAAAAACCTGTAACACCCTGCAGCAATCCTGATAGAGCCCGTATAGAAGCCTTTTAAAGAACCCCGAATAGCACCCTAAGAACCCTAAATCCTAAACCCTACCCTAAACCCTCAGCACTAAATCCCAAACCCTAAACCTTAGAGAACCCCCCGACCCTAGAACCCCATAGCTCTAAACCCTATAGAACCCCAAGCCTTAAACCCTCTAGCAAAAGCCCTCGAAGCCTCCGCGGAGGTGTCCAGGGGCTCATCATCCCCATTCTCCGGCGCCTCCTTGCCTTCCTCCCAGCAGCCGAGATACCCTTTAGACGGTTTAGGGTTTAGGGTTTAGGGTTTAGGGTTTAGGGTTTAGGCGTTTAAGGGCAGGGTCTAGTCTAGCAGTTTAGGGTTTAGGGTCTAGGAGCTTAGGCGTTTAGGGTCGAGGATCTAAGAGTTTAGGGTCTAGGGACTTTTAGTTTAGGAGTTTACGGTTTAGGAGTTTAGGGTTCAGACTAAGGAGTTTAGGGTTTAGGAATGAAGGAATTAGGTTTAGGGGTTCGGGGTTTAGAAATTTAAGGGTTTAGGGTTAACCCTAAAGCCAAACCCACCAAGGTTTAAACCCTAAACCGCAACTCGGTTCTTTAAGGGTTTACGGCTTGAGTTTAAAGTTTAAGGTTTAGGGTTTAAGGTTTAAGGTTTAGGGTTTAGGGTTTAGGGTTTAGGGTTTGGGGTCAAGGTGCACTGTAAGAGTAGGATCCCTGCTTTTGGGCCTTTGGGTTGGAAGGCTCGGGTTTAGGGTTTAGGGTTTAGGGTTTAGGGTTTAGGGTTTAGGGTTTAGGGTTTGGGCTTTGGGGGCTTTCAGGGGCTTTGGGGTTTGGAGTTCAGGGCCTTGGGGGTTCAGGGAGTTAGACCTCTAAACCCTGGACCCTAAAACCCTGGACCCTAAACCCTAAACCCCTAAACCCTGGACCCCAAACCCCTAAACCCCTAAACCCCTACACCCCTAAACCCCTAAACCCTAAACCCTAACCCCTAAAGCCCTAAACTCTAAACCCCTAAAACCCCTAAAACCCCCCAAGGCCACGCCATAAAACCCTCGAAGGCTGAAGCCGAAGCTTTGCAGCTCCGGGGCCGGGGAAAGGGGGTGGCACAACACCCGAGGTGTAGATATCCCAACGGAAACGGAAAGAACTAGGGTTTAGGGTTTAGGGTTTGGGGGTATGTCTTTTCTTGGGTTTAGGGTTTAGGGTTTAGGTTTAGGTTTAGGTTTAGAGTTTAGGGTTTAGGGTTTAGGGTTTAGGGCTTAAGATGCCTTTGGTTAAAGACGGCAGCCGTAGAGTAAGGAATCCGCGCATGGAGGGGATATTGGAGTCTCTCGGTCGGTCCGGCCTGAATCGCCAGGCCACTGCTATCCTGAAGGATGAGGTCGAAGAGGAACGTCCTCGCAACGAACATTTTAGGGTTTAGGGTTTAGGGTTTAGCCTTCAGGTTCAGAAGGTTTCTGCAAGGCATGCTATAGTGGTGACGGTAAGGGACATTACATAGCGGAATATAAGGGGTCTGTGAACGTACTACGACAGCAATATAGGGGCCTTCATTATTGAAATAGGGTTTTCGGGTCTATTCTACCATAAATATAATAAAGTACCGCCAAAATAGTGTTGGAAATTATTTAAGCCCCTACATTAACCACTTCGATTTCTACCTGTACCACAATCGGCCTGACTGCTGCCTTCACTGTACCTACTTCGTGTTTGTTGCCATCACACGAGTAAAAAAAGCGCAATCATCACCACCCACCCACCAACAAACACCCACCGGCAACAACAAGAGCAACAACAAACCACCATCACCACCACCACCTCCACCACTTCCACCACCTCCACCCCACCGCCACCCACGACCACCCCAAGCACCATCACATCACCACTGCCACAACCGAAGCTGACACGACGAAGAAGACGACACGGACTCCATCTAATGACTAAGGTTGCGACTCAATCTAACTAGCGTCACTCACCGTAAATGCTACGACTGTGCCGATGTCTAGCACTAACACCCTGATTGCCAGCACCACAGTCACCTCCCACTTAAGCTCTGCACCCTTAACAACCTAAAACTTTCGACTTCACTGCGGGGCATTTCTAGTCTGGCTTGTCCGAGGGTCTTCTGCAACAGCGACTCGATGCGCGCCATGTGCCGTTGGGCATAGGACAGGACGTTGCCACATGTGGCATTCATTCCTGCGCGGTAAGATCCAGGGCTGAAGAGCTTCGGGTTTGGGAACGCGGACGTCAAGCTATGGGAAGATGTCAAAGTCATGTCGACAACTTACTACCCAAACTAGGGCACTCCCGCTAGGTGGGTAGAGTCTGGATTGCACAGTCTTCTAACCTAACTCTGTGCGTGCATCTTAATCACAGGGCAGCTCGACATCATGAACCATGAGCTCCAAACTCGCACGAACTCTAAACCCTCAACCCTAAACTTGCCACTGTAAGGGTTTAGGCATCGCTAGGACAGGCTGTCGAGGTCTGTTGCGCTGTAGGACACAAGACGAACAAAGAGGCGCCAAAACCCAAAGCCCTAGGCCCCCAAAAAAGAACAAGTCATAAGCCAAAGCCCCAAACCCTAAATCCTTTAACCCAAAACCCTAAACCCTACACCCCAACCTGAAAGCCCTAAACCCTAAACCCTAAACCCTAAACCCTAAACCCTAAACCCGAAACCCTAAACCCGAAACCCTGAACCCAACGCTTGTCCTTGTGGGGTTTGCGACGCGACCTGGAAGGTCCAGAACAACGTGCGCCCTACGATGGAACCCAACGTATCCATCTTATCTTTTATGGTTTAAGGTTTTGGGCTTAGGGTTTAGGGTTGTTTTGTGTATGCTTCTTGTGTGGTAGGCTATTTTTGAGTTTTATAGGGTCATGTCTTAAAGCCTCAGACTTTTGCAAGGCGTATGATCAAGTTTTCTTTACGGAAGAGGGGATGGAAGCCTACTTGGAGCAATACCGGCGAAGCTTCCTGTGTAAGTTCCTTTAAGGCTTCAACTAAAAGTTTCCTGAGGGTTTACAAGACCCCTAAACCCTAAACCCTAAATCCTACACCCTAGTTCCTGCAACGGTTTATTATCAAAACCTTTTAAGTTTCCTTGAAGCGGGAGTTGTCGTTGAACCGTGATTTTGTTAGGGTGCTATAAGGCTTAGGGGCTTGGGGTTTAGGGATTATGGGCGGATGATTATGCTTTTATGGTAGGGTCTTGTAGGGTCTATCTAACCCTAACCCTAAACCCTGAACCCACAACCCTAATCGCAAGGACCCCAACTTTTCAGCAGCCACATAAAGTCCTGACACCAACAGCCTGTCTAAAAAGCCGGGGATACCCTCCCCTGAAACCTTAGAAGGTTTAAGGTTCTGGGGTTTAGGGTTTAGGGTCAGGGTTTTTTGCTTCGGGGTTTTAGGGTTTGGGGTTTGGGTTTAGGGTTTAGGGGTTTAGGGTTTAGGGTCAGGGAAAATGAATGGACCTCGACTTCTGAGAAAACCGCACCTGGAGCATTTGGATCGCACACTCCGGCGTGTCGCAAATATCTTGATCTAGACCTTGAAGAATCCTCGGAGCGTTTGAGCTTACGGGTTCTATAGGCCTTAGGGCTTAGAGGGGATGTACGATATATACTACTATACATATCCGTACACACATAGTATAAGTATGCATTTGTGCATGCATGCATATATGTAAGTATATATATATATAGAGAGAGAGAGAGAGAACAAAGAAATACGCACATAATACATATAGGGTATAGGGATAACAAGGTCTTGGACTCCGAAGTGTTAGAGTTTTGGCATTATAAGGATTCCCTGAAGCCCCCAGACCCTAAACCCTAAACCCCTAAACCCCTGAACCCCTGAACCCTGAACCCTAAACCTATACAAGGATTCCGAGTCAGTCAAGTGCTGAAGGCACCCAACGTCGTGCACGAACCAGGCCTCTTTCTAAACGCGTCAAGGAAATGACACCAATAACGTGTACATCAAGTGTGTGTATGTATGTATATGTATGTATGTATGTACGTATGCATGTATGTATGTATGTATGTATGTATGTATGTATGTATGTATGTACGTATGTATGTATATAGATAGATAGATAGATAGATAGATAGATAGATGCTCGGCACTTATATATACACATACACAGCATATTAAAGTCGACTTGCTGTCTGGGTGCTCATCTGCGTATGTCGCGCAGACGAGAAGCCACAAAGCGGAGAGGAAGGCGCGAGCTGCCATTTTTGGGAGTCTTTTGCTCTTGGGCCAGTGGGCAGCTCCGGCGGCGGAGACGATACAACGAGTCTACGGACATGCTGGCAAAAAGGGAAGGATCATTGAAGCCTGTTTGCTAGGTTGTCGAATATAGGGGCCTTAATAATTAGAATAGGGTGTTCGGGTATATTTTATAATAACTATAATAAGGACCCCCAAACTGGTATTCACCGTATACTATTCGAGGGTTCAGGGCTAATTCATGGCTTCGGCGTTGAGTTTGCACGAAGGTTCGAGGTCAGTGCGTGGTAAGTAGGCAAGAGCAAGGTAGCCGGTGTTACACATACCGTGAGCCGCGCTTCACAAACTTCTTACCCCGAATTCTAGGACTCTAAGACTACCAAAGAACATCTCGCTTGAGAAAATTCAACACAAAGCGTGCAAAACTGGACGGTCCCGTTAGTTTGCCTCCAGCAAGTTCTCTGGTCCATGCAGGCCTGAAGGTTCGTACAATTTCTTAGCCAAGGCTACCACTCGGCCATATAGTCTTATAGGGTCTGACATACCTAGCCCAAACTGGCTAACCTTGGCACATGGTAGGAACTTTCGCGACCGAAAAAACTAAAGCTACCTACGCAGCACGAAATTAGTTTTGACCCTAAACCGAAACCCTAAATGCCTCCATCGCTCTTGTTTACAGATCCCTAGAACTGAAGCCGGTGTCTAAGCAACAACAAAAACTAAATCAACAACTCCATCAAGAGGGTGGCAGTTATCATCCGATGAATACAGGCGATAACCCTGGGGAATCAGTAGGTTGCTGGATGCCCTAAACCCTAAACCCAAAACCCAAAAGCGTAATGCTTTGGTGTTCGGCTTTAGAGTGCTCCACAACCGGGGTTTAGGATTCTTAGATTTTCGGCTTCGGAGCCCTGAACTTATAATTTAAGGAAACTACAGGTGGGGAGTTTAGGGTATATAGGGCTTCTATAAGAATTCTATAAGGTATATAAACCTTCTACAAGGCTCCTACAACGGCAACTACCCACCTGAAACTGTCCTAGACTTAAACCCTAAACCCTAAAACCCATGCTGGGCTCCCAACCCGTGCCGGACATATAGTGATCGCGGGGACAAACCATGGAACACCTGCTGCGCAAGCTTTGGTACCCAAAACCCCTGTTTTGGGGTTTAGGGTTCAGGGTTTAGGGTTTTTAAACCCTATAATCTATAAACCCTAGACCTCAAAGCTTTAAACCCTAAAAACCCTAAACCTTTAAACCCTATTAGCTTATAAACCCCAAACCCCTAAACCCCAAAGCTTTAAACCTTAAGCCCAAACCCTAAACCACTGAATCTGGCTTCTATGGTCTGCAGGGCCCCAACTCTAAGGCTCCGGGTTCAGGGTCTAGGGTTTAGGGTTTAGGGTTTAGGGTTTAGGGTTTAGGGTTTAGGGTTTAGGGTTTAGGGCCATGCACCTCTTAGTGTATACGCCGGCCTGAAAAAGCTTCCTATACAGGTACTTTGGGGCATATATAAATATATACTACGTATGTAAGCCTTAGGGACAGCCTCGACAAACGTGTCCTTACACCTTTGTCAAGGATCCGGACAAAAGTAGATGACTGGGTTCTGGGCACTTTCAGGCTTAGGCGGCTTAGGCTATAAACCCTACCATACACCCAAACCTTAAACCAGAGGAACCCTGAACCCAAAACCTCAAACCGTAAACCCTGCACCAGAAACTACCCTCTAACATACCCTAAACACCACTATTAAGGACCAAAAGGGCTCTATGAAAGGGCACTTGGGGGCTCGAAACGCCAAGACGCAGCTCCGTCGCAGGTCCCCGAGCCCTCGTTTACCAGCCCGAACCACGAGTTTGCAGAGAACCCAATACCTTTAAACTAAATAATACCTACGGCTCAGGGTTTAGGGCTTAGGGGTGGGCACCCAAAACATGTAGAATAGTAGCCTTCTCCGGGTGTTGGCATATTCGTTATCAACGTACATTTGAAGGTTCGTGTAGACTTTAAATGACAGGGGGTTCATGAACATGTCCTGGGCTTCTGACGGACTATACCCTACACCCTAAACCCTAAACCCTAAACCCAACCTTGACTTGTACCTAGATCCTCAAGTCTCTAAAACCTGAACTGAACCCTGCACACCCTGTACCCAGAGAACCCAATACCCCTTAGTTAAGGAATATACCTTAAATCATAGGGGCCTTATTATTATGGTTTAAGGTCTATTCCTTAATTAAGGGGTATTGGGTTCTCTGGGTATTGGATACTGTTAGGCTCTCTGGGGAGTTCATGCACAGTTTGCTGCAGGCATTAGGAACACCTTGTATAGCTTAGGGATCTTAGGGTTTTGGGTTGTGGCTCCTTGCATACTAAGTTGGGCGCTATCCCTCGTAGTTCAGAGGTCGTCGTGCTCCGTTCGTGGCTTAGACTGTAATGAAGGGGCCTAAATATAGGGAATGGGGTTTTGGAGATATTACATATACTAGGTTTTTACAAAGGAACACCCCTGCAGCTGGACTCACCATCCAGACCGGCGGCGACAACGAATCCACAGATAGCGGGTGGAGATACTCCCCTGCAGGCTGCAGGGTCCGGAGGGTGGAGTTTCAGGAGCCGAGTGGAGACGCTCCCTCAGCAGCGCAGCCGGAACCAGCGTCAGGAAGTGGACAACATGCACATTGCGCAAACGACAAGTGCTGCTTCACTGGCAGTCTCTCATAATTTCAACAGTGTCTTGGGCCTTTCTTTTTTAACTGGCAGCCTCGAACTCAACAAGTGACCCGCTCGCACATGCCCAGTCCTGCAGGATGGCCATCTGCAGTTGCTCCCATTCCTCGTCGCTGTCCATGAGGCAAGACCGGAAGACGCGGTAGAGCAGCAATGGAGCCAGTAGCTGAGGAGCGGAATGAACCAACGATTCCGGAACTAGGTGGAAGTGACCCGCT